ACAGTAAGGAAGAATTAGCTGTCAGAAGCTCATTGCTTTGGCAGGAAGCTGCACGAGGTGGGAATGCTTCCAATCAACCTAAAGCTAGCTTGAATAATACAATTCGATTGCACCTGCAGACATCGTATGTCTGTACCGGTATGCTGCAGTGGGGAAAGCATTCTCGATTGATGCATCTTGCCCTTCAAGGGAAAAGAAGCTATGTTGGTGTAATGAAACAAGAAAGGGAGAACCCCAGACTCACTCCATCAGTCAACACTAACCAAAGAGTTCATTACTTTCGGGTCTTCCGGGTCGACTCTTACTATCAACTGGTTCGCTAGTGAGAGAGCTATGCTACTACAGTTGGCTCTACCGGTATTGGTGCCGTACGGTAGCAAGCGCCAACTTCCCAAGCAGAGAAAGAAAAGATGTTGCTTGCCATCAAAATGCTTGCTCTTCGATACAAGGCTTCGAGCAGTGCCCTCTCTGAGGGGTACCAGGTACCTGGTACCCGGTACCGGTACCGGTACGGAACGGCATCTTTAGCGGCTCTGCTAGCTACCGTAGCTAACAGCTATCTCTAAAAGGATATCGCTCACACAACAGCAACCTCGCAACTTCGTCACCGACCATTCAAATATGAAGCTTTTCCACTGCAGTGCGTCATGGTCACATCTAGAGTTCCCGAACATTCTCAATGATGACCACTTGCCAGTCGGCGGACACTACGGGTACATAGCCAACGCCAGTCCCTTTCAACTCTTTGCACAGATTGGAAGCGATCACTAGTGGTTCTCGATCATCCACGGTCACGGACAACGTACCGTTGTCTGTGTTGCTCACGGACAAGTCGAGGGTCATGGTGATGGCATGGCGTGATCCACTCATTCCAAAAAAGGCTGTCGAACCAAACTCTGTAGATACACCATCGGACCAAACAGTTCCTCGTTCTCCAGAAACGCCCCAGCAATCCTCTAGTCCTTCGCAAGACACTCTTGGAGAGAGTGTCGCCGTGGACTTTGCAATGCCAAGCCACAGGGAAGAACCAAAGCCATTAAGATCCACGGCCCTCGTTTTGACCGTCCACTGATACGTCTCTCCCAAAGCAAACACATGTCCTTCTAAACGATCCGTTTCTTTTGGCTTAGACGTTGCGAAGATATGAGACTTTTGTGTCTTCCATCGCTGCTCGCACTTGGGCGCAGTGAACAGGACAGACAAGGTATCGGAGCGCAACAGTTTTTGCTCATAGCATTGCATCAAGTGCTTGGCGGCATTCAATCGGCGTTCCTTGGTTTCACCGGTGGAAGGAGGGCTGCCGGTCCAATATTTGAGCAGCCTGCACACTCCAATGCAATCATCCAATCCCTTGGACCGGTCGTCGGTCTGGGCCAATTTGCGAAGATCATCGACGACTGTCATGAGAGTGTCGGCACTAATGGTCCCAAGGATAATTCCATGGAAAACGTCAAGGTTTGGACAATTGAACCGGATCCGGATCCGAGTCCGTTTTAGTGCATCATTCTTCATTGGCTTCGAGATGACTGGCCCGTTTTGAGTCGATGCTTCCAGAATCTTCCAGGCCATTGGCGGGCATTCGACCGTGATACGGGAGAGACACATTTGCACCTTGTCGCAAAGCCCTGGCAATCCCATATAGATGGCTGCTTCGGTCAATGACAGTAAGGATTCCACTGTGGCCATCACACCGGCAGTGACGAGGCCGTCCGAAAAATCGTAGTTCAAGATGCTGGCGTTGTCCGTGTGAATGTACTCCGGCTGGAAAACCCAATTTGCACTACGTCCTGGTTGGCTTCCTTGAATCTCTTCTGGAACATGGCCTGGAAAAAAGGACTTCGAATAGAGAGTGCAGTGCGACTGGCACGAATCGGAGCGCCGTCGTCATTGCCTTTCAGAGAGACGTCATGGTACAGTACTGTTCCTCCGACAGCTTGGAAAAGGCTTGAGAAAGTGAAATCTCTTTTGGGATATCAGCAGCAACGTTAGACATGGTACGGTACCGTAGGTAGGTACAGCAGTGAAGAGTCAAGTGGAGAGTGACAGTCAACTTGAAAGGCAGATCAATCGACGATGAGTGTGTGCAATGACAACGGCTCGATCGTCGCGGTGACTGTCGCGGTTCTTTGAAAAGGGCTCGAGCCTGGAAAGTTGAGATTTAACACCCTCTATTGATTAAATCTTTTGGTTTTGCGATGATGACGTCACTCGATACCATTTCCTGGCTCAACGGAACCAACGGCACCAACGATTGGGCTTGTGCTCGAGAGTGACGGATTTAGTTGGAAATGACGATGCTAAAACGCAAGGCACAAACTTTTTTGTAGTTGGAGAAAGCAAAGAAGTTACCAAGAAAGACCCAACAACCCGCAATTGTCCTAATATCAATTAGTTGAGTGAGTCGAGTCTATTATTATTGTGATCTACATGTACCCCAAGCATCATGCCTCCTCCTTCGAACCTCAAGCCTGTCCAGCAACAATTGTTCACGGACAATGGAGCTCCTCGTCCCTCCGCCGAGAAGAAGACGCACATTGAAGTCTGTGCTCGGATAAGGCCGTTGCAGATCACCATGCAGAGTTCGTCGAGTTACTTCAACGACCATCATGCGTCTCCGCGCAAACCTCCCGTTCCAAGCACCCGTAGAGCTGGTGGAATTCCCACCCCCAAAGCCTCAGCCAAGGGTAACAAGACGCCCCAAAAGTCTCCCGCACCGATTGCGGAAGAAGATCTCTTTTATGCCTGGGACGTGATTGGAAAAGACACTGCCTCGCAAAGCCCTCGAACGGATATCGTGCAGGGGAGGACGCATCAATACACGCTCGATAAGGTCTATGGACCTACTTGTTCCACCAAAGAAGTCTACGCTCAATCGGTCAAGCCATTGGTAATGTCCGCCATGGAAGGTAAGTGAAACGTCAAACGCACAAACAGTCATGAATTATTTATTTGTGGGTGTTAAGGATGAGACTGAAAACTTGAGGAAGAAAAAGTCATGTTTCTTTCTGTTCTGTGTATTGTGGAATGATTTCTTATCCTTTCTGGTTTTGGTTTTGGTGTGTGTTATTTTAATAGGATACCACAGTGCTGTTCTAGCCTACGGTCAAACGTCCACTGGCAAAACATTCAGCATGACAGGAACACCCACTTCTCCTGGAATCGTTCCTCTTTCCATTCATCAATGCTTCCAATGCCTCGAAAAGGACCGGGAATACCTCATTCGAGTAAGTTATCTAGAAGTCTACAAGGAACAAATTAGGGACCTATTGGCCGATGGAGCCAGTCAAATTCGACTCTTTGATCATCGGGAACAAGGACTCATCATCAAGGGATTACGAGAAGAGGTTGTGACGTGTCCCAAGCAAATCTTTGAAATACTCGCTAAGGGAGAAAAAAGACGCAAAATTGGTGCCACCAACATGAATCAACATTCCTCACGATCCCATGTCATGGTGCGATTGTGGATTGAAAGTCGGGCCGTGGGGAATAGTCGACGCGGTGGTTTTGGCGGCAACAATAATAACAATAACAACAACAACAAGACGGCCGTGCGAGTGTCCTCCTTGAGTTTGGTCGATTTGGCGGGAAGTGAATCCGTCAAACTCCACGGTGCCAATGAAGCACGAAGACAGGAAGGACATTACATTAACAAGTCCTTGATGGCTCTTGGAAAGGTGGTGTACGCACTCAGCGAAATGGGAAAGCAAAAAAATAGCGGCAAGAACGCATCGCAGCAGCATATCCCCTACCGTGATTCCAAATTGACGCGATTGCTACAACCCAGTTTGTCGGGAAATGCTCAGATGGTGCTGATTTGTTGCATTTCGCCACTGGCATTGCACATCGAAGAGAGCCACAACACGTTCAAATTTGCTGCCCGTGCCAAGAAGGTACCACAGAAAGCTACCATTCAAGAATCGATGGATGAAAAGACATTGTTGCAAACCTACCGTGAGGAAATTGAAGCACTCAAACAACAACTCAAAGATGCCAAGACACAACAAGTCGTCCTCTTGGAAGAGCAGCAACAGCAGCAAGAAGAACCCGTGGAGGATGACATGGACGACGAAGTGGAGGAACTGAAAATGGCAATCCGCAATATGGAACATTTGATTCTCAAAAGCAAAGCGGCGACGACTCCCCCGAGCAGTGCAGTCAGCCGAAAAACCGCGCCCGAGGAGGACCTGTTGGATGCCGATAGTGATGAGGATGAAGGCGACGAAGCAGCTCTGTTGGCGTTGATGACAGAAACGCAGAAGTCGTCTGGAGCCACGAGGATACCAGGTGGAACTCCAAGTACACCCGTGACACCCGTAGCAGCCCCAGCAGAAGATACCTCGAGCGACATGTACGCGGAACTTCATCGTATTCAGGGACTGTTGGGGTCTGTCCTCAAAAAGCGCAGTCGAGGAACAAAGTCACCCTCACCCTCACCCTCCGCTGCCACCAGCAACAACAACACCCCCGCCGCAGTAGCACCGCTACCCGAAATTAGTAGCCCCCAGCCCCAGGATACGGCGGAAGTGAACATTTTACGCGCTCAACTGGAGCAACAAGAAACGGCCAGCTCGTTGCGCGCGGCTGATGCAACATTTCTGACCAAACAACTCGAGGAAAAGGACAATCTGCTGATGGAAGTGTCCAAGATTCTGGAACAAGTGGAACAACGTCAAGTGGAGCTCGAGGCCGAGAATTCGGACTTGAAGAAGCAACTGCATGCCCTCAAGACTGGGACTCCCTACAATCCCGTCAACATACTGAGGAACGGGAATGTGGAGATCTAGAATTCAATGGGTGGTGGGGACCAAACCAGCTTCAATCGACGGGGGATGCGACGACGAATCCAGCAGCCATAGGTGTCATTTCTACGATTGGAGAGTCTCGTTGTTGCAAAAAACGATGTACCATGTTGTAACCGCCCATGATGGAATTGATTTCATGGGATTGGGAAACAAAATGGTACTGTTCTGAAAGGAGTCGACTGTGTGCAGGGTCATGATGCGGAAATTCAATCCTGCAAACAGACCTCCTTTCAGCTAGCTAATAGAAACAATATTCAAGTTAAGATCTTTTCATGCTTCACTTGTAGAGGCTATCTGGTTCGTTTCCCTTGGTAGCGCCTCGTCCGGTCAACCTTTTTCTGGACGAGATGCAAGATTTGATTTCCATCTGTGGGTGGCAATCCAAGCCCCACCAACGCGGCCGTGACGGCTTCGGCAGTGCAGAGGTTGTCCGGATTTCCACCTTCTTGCCGCCGCAGTGGTTGTAATATGGATTGCCTTGTTGTGTCTTGCGATATGGTTGTTGCTGTGTTTTCCTTGGCCATTATGGAATGGTTCCAAAAGGCAACTTGTGTCGGCAGAGATATGCGCTTCACTTTGGCTGGTAGTTTGGATACCATGCGTCTAGCCGTGCGCCAAGTTCCTTCCAGAGCAATCAAAATCAAACCATGTTCTTCACTTTGATTATTGCCGCGTAGCAACATTGTTTCAAGATCTTGCCAGCTTATCCGGTCGTCATCATCCACCTCCTTGGGGTTTGTGTCATTGTTGTCATTGTTGTCTGGCCAGAGCACCACAAGATTGTCGTTTGTGTCTAGGATTTTCTGGAATGCAGCATCATGTTGAGGGAGACCCTTCATGAAAAGTTGAGTATTGTCTAGTCGGAGCGGTAGAAGCGAGCCCGAATTGGAAATGGATCCCCATTCTCGGTGATGCGTCCAAAGAATCACCTGCTTGACCGTATTGGTCAGGGGTATTCTGTCTGTTGCAGCTGCATCATCACAGAGACAAATGGGACCGTAACACCAGCAGGTGGGGCAGACAAAGGGATGTTTGCCATGCCGATATCGATGCTCGCAAATCAATTGATGTTTTTCGGCGCCAGTGATCTTTGTCTGTTTCATTTGTTGTTGCAAGGCTTCCGAGGCGGCGTAGTGCTCTTGTTTGTGCCGCTGGACTTGATCCACCGACAAGCCCAGTCGTTCAGCGTACAGCTCTGGAGATGACAGCCAATGAGACAGCGAGTCATTGTCAACTTTGTCTGTATGGTTGCAAGCAGTGGCCGTTTGCCGTGATGATCGGTACCACTGATTGGAAGATCCCACCGGTACATTACCATGGCTGTCGCGAGCACGGCAAGTTTGCTCAAGTTTGAAAGCCGGCTCTGAGGTAATGAAAGGGATAAATGCATGTACTTCAGCAGCAATGGATAAAGACACAACCAGGATGACAAGATGCTGAGTGATGGCCATCGTAGCTTACGGCAGTCGGCTATGCATACCGGTAGCTGATGGCTGATGTCCATCCTTTGCGCTTCGGCACAACGTTGTGAGGGGTGTGGAAGCAGAGATCTTTCGCTGACGTCATCCTCATTTTTGGCACCTCCAGCTTTCTGCCTCACCCACGCATTTACTGCATGCTTCCGTCAAACTCTTATCCTCTGCCATCTTGCCCTTTCTAATAGAATCGAATCGGTCGTCGCCAACAGCGTACTGTATGATGGTATTTCCAATCATCTTTGCTTTTGTCGCTCCAAGTCGCTTGCAGCAGCAGAGCCATGCAAATCCCAAGCCTCCGACTGCAATTATTGTAGAGGATAGTGTCCGTCGATTGCCATGTTCTGCGCTGTCCACTTCGTCCGAACCATCCGATTCGTCGTCGTCAAGATTTGGACGGCAAGACTACTGGGACAGCTTTTATCAAGAAGAAGATGGGGCTGCCTTTTCATGGTATACCGGATGGGCCGATCTGGAACCCTTTCTGATGGAACTCCTCAACCCCGACGATACAATTTTGTTGCCCGGTGTCGGCAGCGATACCATGCTCCTAGACATGTACGAGTCTGGATATCGCCATTTGACGGCGTTTGATTATGCCGCACAGGGAATTGCACGGTGTCGTGAAATGATGGGCAGTGAACGATCCAATGCCATTCATCTATTTGTCGGGGACGCTCGCGACTTGCCACAACTGGAGGATGCTTCCTTTGATGTGGTCCTAGAAAAGGGAACCCTCGATGCCATTGTCCAGAGTGGTGAAGGAGGAACCCTAAAAGAAAAGAAGGCACTGGGCTTGGAAAACATGGAAAAGGCCATTGCGGAGTTGTGCCGGGTAATCAAACCAGGAGGCACTTTTATCAGCATATCCGCCATTTGCACAGAAGAACTTGAAAACAGCCCCGAATGGCAACGAACGACAACCGGTGATGATGATGCGGTTTGGGCAATGATCCGCGATGGATCCTTGTACTTTACCGAGTCTGGGTATGCCAGCAATAACTTTGATGGAACACTTCTAGCCTGGAGAAAGAAGAAACGAAGTCAAGAAGAGGAGTAGTTGCCTCTCTCGCTATCCATGCACCACAAAATGTAGGGCAATACCAGCACGATTGACTGGGCAAGACAATCGGTGTGTACACTGCCCACCCACCACCGGCCATGCAAGCTTTCCCTTTGAATGGAGCGACCAATCTTTAAAGGGAAACGCGACAACACACTAGCTATTATTCAGGTTGTATCCCAACCAACTCTAGTTATTATTCATGTTGTCTCCAGAACAACTCCATTAGAAATTTACATACACATGCACTACCGCAATGCTTGCTACCTAATGGTACCCCCACCACAATTATTACTGCTACAGTTGCATCCACAGAGCTCTGAGCAGTCAAACTGCAAAAGGTCAACCTCACACAAGCTAGATGGGACCTCCCCAGTCAATAGGTTTCCGTCCACAGCAAACTCTTTCAGAGTAAGGTTTGCCATTGCAGCAGGGATGGACCCCTCAAAATGGTTATTGCTGAGCCATAGGTTCTTCATTCCCTCCAACAGACCAAACTCTACAAAAGATATTGAGGGGATGGGAGCGGGTAGTTGAAACAGGTGTAAGGATTGAAACCAGGCAACACAGGCAAGAATGCACCAAAAGCAAGATACGAACCTGTCGGAAGGGTTCCGGTCAGCTCGTTCCCAGTTACATTGAAATCAAATAGGAGCGGCAAGTTCTGCAGCTTGGTTGGCAGTGTGCCATTCAACTGGTTGTCTGACAGCTGAACCAGCATAATACTCGAGAATGGCTGGAACGGAGGCACTGGGCCTGTCAACTGGTTCTCATGGAGAAACAAGGCCTTCAAGTTTGACAATTCCGCTATTTCTACAGGAGCGGTGGTGAGCACCACAGTGGGAATCGAATCGAGCTTGAGGATTTGCGCACAGTGTGTTGTGTCTTACCGGAAGGGATAGAACCAACCAACGAGTTCGATGCGAAGCCAAGCACTACCACATGCGAGAGGAGAAACATCTCTGGAGGTAAAGAGCCTTGAAGGTTGTTGTCTTCCAAGAATAGGTCTTCAAGGATGAATTCCATGATTCCAGGAGTCCCAAAGCAAGGGTCTTTCCAAGTCGAGAACCACTGGCATTCATTTATGGTGTGGTTGAGCCAGCCTTCATTCTCAAACCAATCATCTCCACCTGTCGCATAGTAAAATGTTGCCAATGCAAATCTTTGCAGAACTCGCTGATCCGTATGATTCCAGTGCGGAATGTCGTTCAGCAGCCATTGAGCAGCCCGCGCTTGAGGCGAACCAGGTTTCGACCGTATAGCTTCAATTGTCTTGTTTGGTAGAAAGGCCATAACATATGCTTCAATTTCATTGGACGTGGTATTGTGTGAAGTAAAAGCATGGCTAGTGTTGCCGTCGTGGGCCTCCTGTTGATCGACCTTCTCATCCAAACCAAGCAGATAGACAATCAACAGAACGAATCCTGCGAAAACAAGCGCTCCAAGGCTGATACAGATGGTTGCTTTGATCAAATGAGTCTTCCTTTTTCGTTCCTTTCTCGTTCTCGCCTGCTCGTTTAGATCATATTCCTCTGCTTTTGGCAATGACTGCGCTTGCCGATCATGGTTTTCATCCACCAACATGGCAATAGAGAGCCGAGCTGATACACTTGTATGAGATGTGACTGCTGCTTCTTCATCTGCTTCTTCTTCATCTGCTTCTTCACTGCTGATTTCCCTCTCGCCATCCTGTTCTCTGGTGGATTGATCGGGTGTAGGAGCGACAGCATAAGCTCCAACCATGGGCTCCTGGCCTGTGGCGAGACGAGTGCATCGAAACTGTTCCTCCCGGTTTGACTCCAAGGCAGCTTCATTGGCCATGCTCTCTTTGGTGCCCATACGAATGTTCACAGTTTGTGGCATGGAAAGCTGATTCTTATCCTTGGGAGGGTGTTTGCAAGGGGAGATCATGTCTGTGTTTGCACCCGTCTTGGTGTCTTCTGAACATGGAGCTGGATCTTTGACATCTGTAGATCCCTGATCGGACATTTGAGAAGCTTCATTCTCACCTGTGCCATTGGAACTTCCTGCGGGCTGGCAGCGCAAAGCCACAAGCTTCATCAAGTCGAGCTCATCGTCGTCGGAGGCATCTCGTTGTCTTTTGGGTGGCTGATTCTCCATGGTCTTTCACTTTGGTTCAACTTATAGACTTTCTACCTGCTATTCTTGGGAATTGGATAAGGGAACTCACAGAGACACAAAGCTACCAGAACGGTCGAACGCGGTAATGGTGATGCTACCAGCTTGCTAGTAGTCACTGACCATCATGTATGTTGATCGCTGCTTCCGCGAGACTCCACTCGACTCGACTCGACTCGACTCGACTCTGTCTCCCGGTGTGTGCAATACCGCCGCCCAACAAGCCGCAATGGGTACGGAAAATCACCGGAGCCATACAGTCGTACCTGGACCAATTGACCTGCAGCCTGTCAGGCCCCGTGGTTGAGAAAGGATAATATATATTCATAACTACTGTAACTTACTAGTACTTTACAACAGCTACTGTAACTAATCCACAAAGGGGTAGGCGTATTTAAATCTTCTTTTCCACTCGGAGCTCGGAGTACCGGTACTCCAGGAGAAGTGTTCCTTGAAGGAGAAAAGGATTTATCAAATATTATTATTATCGCTATCGAGGGTTCTCTTTACTTAGTCACCAAAGCTCACCTAGATCAATATCCCACAGTACCATTACAAGTACCGGTACCGGCACTGCCCACTGCCCAGCATCCAGAGTTTCTGTTTCTGTTGTCCATGTCCCACGGTGCAGAGCTTCCAGAACTCAGGTACAAGCATTTCTCCAGTGTACCAGGTACCAGAGTAAATCGTCCGAGTAGTGTACTCAGGACGGGTAGTACTGGTACCGATACTCGAGTAGCTAGCTATCGGTACAGGTCCTGTCGGGAATATTGGACTACTTGTAATACACAGGCTTTGGAATTGAGGAGCTAGCTAGATAGCTACTCTACTCGAGTAGTAGATGCGGTAACAAAAAGTTTTATTCAGAAGAGTACCTAATAAATACTGCAGTAGTTGCCTTCCAGCTTCCAGCAGCTAGCTGCGTAGCCCCGCTGGCTAGCCCTGCACAACATTGCATGGAACTACATACAATACGGTACACTTTCAATGGACAGCTCATAGACAGCTCGTGGGAGCTTTGATTTACTGTAAAATAATGTTTGCTACAGTAGAACAATAATACAATAATAGCTTTTTAAAACCCTACCGTACACGTACATTTACCATTTACAGCTAGCTGTCTTCCGCATTCCGCAGCTGCGACTCGACTCAGAACAGGTGAATCCTACAAGATACCTTCAAGGGCTCCTTCAAGTAAGTACTGTAGTAGAAGGTAGAAGGCTTTGAGTATGACATACGTCGAGACCTTCCGGATTCGATTCCGGGGAGTAATAAGGTCCCGCCCAGTTCCTTCCACAGGATGCTGTCAGTCTTAGAACTGGGAACCCTTTAGCGTGCATTCTCTGCATCCTGCATCCAGCAGAAACCGAGGTTGGGCAGGGTTGATGCTGATTGCTTTTGCTAGACCTAGCTAGCTAGTACTGTATTGTTCATTCTTCATTCAATTAGCCTGCCTACTGCCTACTTTAGAAGGGCAGAATCTAATCTCCCCATAGTTGCCTTTCATTGGAGGCTGCTAAGCTGTTCGCCCAAGAGATTAGTAGTGCCAAACTCCGAGTCAGTTGCAGTTTGTTGGGTATATTCTGCCACAAGAAGAGCAAGGACTGGATTGATAACTCAGTCAATTGGGGGTCCCCATCATGAGTGGCAACTGACAAGAGCTCACTGCCAATCAAGTCCCTAGCTAGCTAGCACATACTCCCCTTCATATCCATGCAACTCCAAGAAGAGCTCTTGTATGTTGATGTTGAAAACCACAGCATTGCATTGTGCTGCTGTCACTAAGAGTTCATCTATCTGTTCATCGCTAGCTATTATTCATGATGTTGTCTCCTAAGCAACTCCATTAGAAATTTACATACACATGCACTACCGCAATGCTTGCTACCGAACGGTACCCCCAACACAATTATTGCTGCTGCAGTTGCATCCACAGAGCTCTAAGCAGTCAAACTGCAAAAGGTCAACCTCACACAAGCTAGATGGGACCTCCCCAGTCAATAGGTTTCCGTCCACAGCAAACTCTTTCAGAGTAAGGTTTGCCATTGCAGCAGGGATGGACCCCTCAAAATGGTTATTGCTGAGCCATAGGTTCTTCATTCCCTCCAACAGACCAAACTCTACAAAAGATATTGAGGGGATGGGAGCGGGTAGTTGAAACAGGCGTAAGGATTGAAACCAGGCAACACAGACAAGAATGCACCAAAAGCAGGTTACGAACCTGTTGGAATGGTACCGGTCAGCGCATTCCCAGTCACATTGAAATCAAACAGGAGCGGTAGGTTCTGCATGTTGGTTGGAAGTGTGCCGTTCAACTGATTGTCCGAAAGATGAACCATCATCATACTCGAGAAGGGCTCGATCGGAGGCACTGGGCCTGTCAACTGGTTCTCATGGAGAGCCAAGGCGATCAAGTCTGACAATTCCACTATTTCTGAAGGAGCAGTGGTGAGCACCCAGCAGGAATTGAGCTTAACGATTGCACACAGTGTGTTTTGTCTTACCCGAAGGAATAGAACCAACCAACGAGTTCTTGGCGAGGCCAACAACTGACACATGTGAGAGGAGAAACATCTCTGGAGGTAACGAGCCTTGAAGGTTGTTGTCTTCCAAGAATAGGTCTTCACGGATGAATTCCATGATTCTAGGAGTTCCAAAGCACGGGTCTTTCCACGTTGAGAACCACTGGCATTCATTCAAGGTGTGGTTGAGCCAGCCTTCATTCTCAAACCAGTCATCTCCGCCTGTCGCATAGTAAAATGTTGCTAACGCAAATCTTTGCAGAACTCGCTGATCCGTATGATTCCAGTGCGGAATGTCGTTCAGCAGCCATTGAGCAGCCCGCGCTTGAGGTGAACCAGGTTTCGATCGTATAGTCTCAATTGTCTTGTTTGGTAGCAAGGCCATAGCATATGCTTCAATTTCATTGGACATGGTATTGTGTGAAGAAGAAGCAAGGCTGCTAGTGTTGCCGTCGTGGGCCTCCTGTTGATCGACCTTCTCATCCAAACCAAGCAGATAGAGAATCAGCAGAACGAATCCAGCGAGAATAAGGGCTCCAAGGCTGATACAGATTGTTGCTTTGATCAAATGAGTCTTCCTTTTTCGTTCCGTTCTCATTCTCGCCTGCTCGTCTAGATTGTATTCCTCTGCTTTTGGCAATGACTGGGCTTGCCGCTCATGGTTTTCATCCACCGGTATGGCAACAGAGAGCCGAGCTGCTGCACTTGTATGGGGTGTGACTGCTGATTCTTCATCTGATTCGCTCTCATCGTCCTGGTTCTCCTCTATGGTGGATTGATCTGGTGGAGGAGCGACAGCATACGCTCCAACCATTGGCTCCTGATACCGGTACGTGGGGGAACAATTCGCTGGAAACTGTTCCTCCCGGTTTGATTCCAAGGAAGCTTCATTGGCCGAATTCTCTTTGGTGCCCATATCGATGTTTGCTGTTTGTGGCTCGGAGAGCTGATTCTTATCCTTCGGAGGTGGTTTAGAAGGGGAATTCATGTCTGCGTTTGCACCGGGTTTGGTGTCCCCATTTGATTGTGATGCTGCTTCATTGGCCATGTTCTCTTTGGCATTGGTGCCCATACCAACATTTGCTGTTTGTGGCTCAGAGGGCTGATTTTTGTTCTCTGGATTGTGTTTGAAAGGGGGGTTTGTGTCTGTGCTGGCGCCGGTTTGGGTACCTTTTCTACACGGACCTGGATCTTCAGCATCTGTTGATCCCTGATAGGAAGACACACAAGCTTCAGTCTTAGTTGCACCATTGGAAGTTGCTTCGGGCTGGCAGCGCAAAGCCACAATCTTCATCAGGTCAAGCTCATCAGGCTCCGATTCTTCATCTCGCTCTCTTTTCGGTGGCTGACTCTCCATGGTCTTTCACTTGTTTCAACTCAGAGACTTGCTACCTACCGGTACCATTAGTGGGAGTTGGCGAATGCACACACAAAGAGACAACTAAATGTAGCATGCAGGTAGCATGCAGGTAGAACGCTGCAACTGTGGTGCTTCGGGCAGACATTCTGTCCATCGATGGCTCTGGCTCAGAAGCACGGCAGTTTGCAGGCCAACCAATGAAAACCGCTGGCTCCGAGTAAGGCAAGTTAACCAAAAAAAAAAGAAGCTGGAAGCAGTAGACATGCGTACTGATACATGTACATACGTGGCTTATTAGTGGTTGAGAAAGGGTGTGTTGTAAATTGTAAAGGAAAGTTTACTATAAAAGTCCGGTACTCAGTACTCAGTACTAGTACACCCTACGACATTGCTTCGATTCTCGGGTTCTTTGGGGCTGAAGGAGGAAGCGTGCTTATTTTCTGAAGAGCTTCTGAAGATAAAGAGGATTTATTGCCTCCACACTCGCTTTAATTAAAATTAAGAAGAAATCACCTTCCGCCCTCGGTGGTTGCCAGCTACAAGTGGCCAGAACCGGTACCCAGTACCCTATTTTTTTATTAGTCTCTGTCTCTAGCTACAGTGTAGCCAGTGGCCACTTGGCCAGTGGCCAGAGCAAAGCGACAGCCAGCCGACAACCGACAAAGAACCTTTTGGATCATTTAAGTCACCGACAAAGAACCTTCAGGATCCTCCCCTCGTTCGCACAGCCCCCCTGCTCACTGCTCACATTATTGAATCGAATCGAATCTGATCGATCGAATCGAATCTTCTGAGCTGGAGCTCACTGATACCAGTACCGGGTACATGTTGTAGCACCAGCTAGCTAGTAGAGCTAGTCTAGTAACCTGGCTAGCACTGTACGCTAGTTGTCTCTTTTGTGTGCATTGCCAATATTGTACCTAGAGCAAGTCTCTGAGTTGAAACAAGTGCAAGATCATGGAGAATCAGCCACCCAAAAGAGAGCCAGATGAAGAATCGGAGCCTGATGAGCTTGACCTGATGAAGATTGTGGCTTTGCGCTGCCAGCCTGAAGCAACTTCCAATGGCGCAACTAAGACCAAAGCTTCTGAAACTTCCTATCAGGGATCAACAGATGTTGAAGATCCAACTCCGTGTATAAAAGACCCCCAAACCAGTGCAAACACAGACATGAATTCCCCTTCCAAACTCCCTCCAAAGGATAAGGATCAGCTCTCCAAGCCACAAACTGTGAATCTTGATATG